GGAGAGCAGATTCGATGAAAACACGCCGCACTTTCAGTCTGGATGTGTGGGCCTCCTGTCCTTGGTGCACTGCCTTGGCCAAGATGCATTGATTGTTAGAGCAGCAGAGCTGAGCAGAGTTGACTCGACTCATTGATCGGCAAGCTGAGCTTGCAGCATGGAGGATAATCTCGAAAGCCTGAGGTCTGACCAAACCACGGCGCATGCCGGTTTGCTGATTTGACCTAGAAAGCAATGACCCAGGTTAAAGTGTGAAGCCTCAGTCCAGCTGCACCTGATCTGGACATGTCTGAGACATTGGAGGACTTATCATGCTGACTTGCACTTTAAGCATGAGACATGCTAAAAAACTGTCACAACTTCTGCAAGCCAGGGTGCTTTGCTCACTTCCGTGGACAGCTGCATCACTGCGAAGGACAGGAATAATGCAACTAAATTGTTAAACCTCCTCGTAGACCCTCTTGTTATGTGAAGTATGCCCAACTGCTCATCTGTACTCTACATTACAACTGAAGCTATGCAAACATGTTTTGTTTGGACATGGAACAAGCTAATCAGCCTAGACTTGAGGCGGCTGCGGCTGCAACTCAACTCTCGCGAGCATATCTAAACAATTCTACAGAGTTGTCAGCTTTCCACATGAAATTCTTCCGTCTCAGTTCACTTAAACCAATAACGTGCAACAAATCTTTTGGATTTCCAGCGGCACTCAGTTGATTTGCGTAACCATTTGCGAGTCCTTTGCTTTCAGGGCTTAGGATTTCCGCGCCCCACTGCTCGAAGGTACCAGGGCTTAACTTTCGATTTCCGAACTGGATTCCTGTTGCATCTCAAAGTGACTGCCCCACGCTACTTTCAGGTTTGTGGTTCGGGTCTCCACCCGCTACTCTGCTGATGGCCTGGGGTTTACTACTCATTTCAGGATTTGAGCATTCCACTTCTTACTTTTTCACGCCTGCTATTCGAAACAGGGGCTTTGCTTACCTGCTTGCTCATGACTTTCAATGTACACACTTCTTGGAGTTGAAGGGCTGTGGAATTTCCACAACTCAAACTTTTGGGGTTTAAGGCTGCTAACCTCTCCCTTAGGGTCAGGGTTTGCCACTCTTTGCAGGGATTAGGTTTCTGACATGCCCAAATTAAAGTGCCACGCTGCTGTACGCTAAGCTCTCTAGCGGTTGGACTACAGGGTCATGACCTTTCACTTGGTGGTTGCTTTGTTGAGGTATGCTGAGGTCTTTTTAGGCACAGTTCCTGGAAAAACGCTGACGATAGACTTTCCCTTTTACACAATGGGTCTAATACTTGAATGAATGTTTCGCTCCGAAAAGTTTTGCGACAGCTCCTTCTTCCGGTTCCCGCGCGAGTGGCCATACTTACTGGGACTATCTTTGCATTTCTCTTACTCACCTGCGTACGCAATTTACAAGAGTTCCTGATCCACAGAACTTCCCGGTTTTTAATAAATTCTGGTAGGAGTGGATAGGTATTTAATACGAGTCCAATGACAGCCCAACCCCCCACCGCCCACCTCGCCCTTCCGGCCCGCCCACCCCCCACCCGGTTTTTAATGGATTCTGGTAGGAGTGGACAGGTATTTAATACGAGTCCAAGGACAGCCCAACCCCTCACCGCCCACCCTCCTGGCCCTTCCCGTTCTGCCGTCCAAAAGCGGCACTCCAGACCAGCAGGAACACCCCAACAACACTCCGAGACAACTTGAGCCCAGGGTCCCTGCGAGACAGTTGCGAGCGCTATTGACAGGCGTGATTTGGAGTGTGAGGATCCAAAAACCGGCAAGGAACCAGGCGCGGGTGCCATGCAGCCAGACCAACAGCTTCCTTGACCTTGAACGCAAGAATTGCACATACGCAACGCGCAGGCGCCAAGAGCGAGGATTGCCAACGCAAGCTTGATTTTGTCAATCAACTCTTTTGCCGAGAGAACTCTCTGCAAGAGCGCGGCCGCGCACTCCAAGAGCTTCATAACTTTATAGAGCACTCCAAGCACAGAAGGCTGGCAGCGACGAGGGATATCGCAAACCTCAAGCTCAGTTTCAAGCCCAAGCTCCACACCGAGCCGCAGGACTGTCCAAAACTCATCTAAACTGATGATCTCGCAACGCACTCGCCTAGTCAGATGTTTTTTTTAGCTAGGAATGTCAATTGTTAGCAGGTTTGACGGCACACAGCAAAAGGGATGATGAAGCGTTTCAACAGACGGGCCAGACACTGAAAATCTTGTTTTACAGACGGTATAGGGTGGTTGGATCCAGGCTGGAAATCTTAGCCTGGGCTCTGACAAGCAAACCAAGACCTCGCGGATGTGAACATAGCTGGAAACATCTCAGGTCCTGAGCTGCAACCTCAACCTGCTTACTCATGAGTTCCACCATAGGTTCTCCGAAGCCTTCGTTGAAGTTCCAAACAGCTTGCCCCAGTACAAGCGCTAGCTAAGCACCAGCTTTGCATGTTTGGCAGCCGCGAGATTGCCGGTGACCACTCACTCGCTGTGACAGGACTCATTTTTCGAAGGCTTAGCTTCTCCTGTCCAGCACTACTAGCTACGTGCGATGTCGCTTCTGGTCACACAATCGAGGCCCAGACCAGATTCTCACGCAGCTGATTCTGCAAATTCTGCTGCAACTGCTTAAGTTCTTCGCCCTTAGCGTGAGGTAGAGAGTAATTAGCGCCATGCATATGATGATAACCCCGCTCAGCGGCCAAAGCAGATGTGCAGCCTGTGAGCTTGTCGGACAACTTCTGCACTTCTTGCACAAAGGTCTTGGCTTTCTTCATCATTGGTTGTACTTGATCATGATGCCTTTTCCTTGTGAGAATTTCTCTCCGCATAGCGCTGGATGCCTGGAGCAAGAGCCCTGGTGCAGCTTCGCACATCTTGGCCAGGTCCTCCTCAGAAAAATGCGCAGCCAAACAATCAATGCAGCGTGTGCACTGCTGTTTTAGGCTATGCCGGTGAGCCTGTAGTAGCCGCGCCATTGTCGCAGGCAGTTCCAAAAGACGCTGCTCACAACTCTTCTTAATAAAGCTGACTTGGTAGTAGTCGCTGATCGCCAGCAGTGCATCCACGTTAGCCTGTGTGATCTTATCAGGGCTCCACTCCCCCGGAAGCAACAAGCCGTAGAAGACATCAAAATCTTCCAGTGTCGCCACGTCCACTTTTATAGACTTCTGAAACGCCTCCTTCATGCCAGACTGGAGCATTCGGTTAAAAACAGGTGACGACAAACACAGCAAGGCCGAACTTACAGTCTTTGACGCCGAGTCAAATTTCAGCATGAGGTCGTTGACATGCTCCGTATCGTTGCTGTCTGATTCTGCATCCTTGCGGTCTCATTTTTTGAGCGTGGAACTCAACCCCAAGCCCTTCATCCCTTGCGGCTGAGACTTTCAATCTCCGATTCTAAGAAGATTGGTGCAAGTAAGCTAGCATCCTTTGTCGCGGCCGGACTCACGGAGGCGACACTTCAAAACTTGACGAAACCGCTACGGTGCTAGATACTGCAAACAAAGTCCTCCAACGGTTTTGCAATCTTCTCTTCCATCGCTTCTCAGACTCCCAACAAAAGACGGCGAACGCGCAAGCTTTGCGTATTGGCGGCTTTGTGCCGCAAAATTGTAGCTATTTGCTGGCGACGCTTATGCTCAGCAGGTTCCTGGCAAAGCAAACAAATATATGATGTCTCTCTGCGCACAAGGCCACTCAACTCCAGAATTCAGATGGCGCAGGTGTGCTTGTTGTTGCTTTGGAAGCTCTTTCATGGAAATGGATGATCCAAACGGCACAAGACATGAGTTGTCAGGAAAAACGACGCTGCTCCACTCGGGCGGGCTTTACAACATCAAATCGCTGGGTTGAGCCATAGGGTTTGCTGTACGCACCCAACCTGGAATCATGAAAACATCCTTCGTGCGACAGGCACCTAAGGGGCCGCAACGCCTGTCCACACAACGGCTTATCTGCTGAAATGGAGTTGACTTTTCGGATTGCCAAGTGTACGACAGTGACAACACAATGGTGTGCAAATCCTACAGGCCACCAGAACTGCTACGGCTTTGTGTTGGGCAACCTCATTTCTGCTCAGCTGCAGCCACGTTGGCGTGTCAGATTTGTTGAGTGCACAGGCGCACTGCAATGAAGTCCCTGGGTAGCAGGGCCGCAGGGGACCATGCCGCTGGTGGAGCACTACTATTCTACTGCATCTTGCATTCCACGACTCTGAGGTTGCCAAAGAACCTAACCACACAATGCAGTGCTAGCTATTGTAAGGGTGCCAAACAGGCATGACAAACCACTTGAACCTGGGGTGTCTCAGGATTCAGACCTCGTGTATTCTCCGCTATCCGCCTCTAGCTGAGGACTCCCCACTCATCATCGCATGCTGCTGCGTCAAGATGTCAAAGGGCAAGAGAAAGCAGGAGTCAGTTGATCAAACCGGCAAATTTCTATAGAACCAAGCAGTGAAAGACTCTCGCTTCTGCTGCTACATAGGCTGTTAATCAGTGCAGGTTAGTGAAGGCGACGATGCGATCAACTGCAGCAAGAAAATGGGCAACTGGCGCATCGCCAAGATGAGGGTTGTGATTCCCAACCATCATTTTGACAAGGCCCGGCTTGGCCTCTTGGACCTTGAGCTCTTGGAAGATCCAAGACAACATCCACGGTTTCAGAAATGCACTGAAACACTGCCAAACGCACTAGCAGCGATCATTAGCGCTAGCTTACTTTCAACGAGTCGGTTTGAATGCCGCGCAATAGTCTACTGGATGTGTGCTCCTTGTACCTGTAGAGCTCCAATGCCTGGGTCAGGTGTGCCCAAAAAACTGTACAGGCTTCAAAACTCACTTGGAATTTAGACACCTAAGCACGTGCGCGCTGACTCTGCCTCCGGCCGAGTCTGCTTTATTCAGCTCAATACAGCAGGCGTAAACTCTGAAGTCCAACCATCAGGTTGTCACCGAGATGCGCCGGTTGACGCTTCAGTGCTCAGGGCTTTCTCGCACCAGTCGCCTGTTGCTGACGCTTCTTCTGAGGGGTATTGGGTATCGACTCTGGATCTCAGGTGGCGCTCGCTTGTGAGAGTGATCCCTCGAGAGCCCTCTGCTGAGGTTGCTTGTGTGGCGCTTTGCTTAGCGCTGGGGCTTCGGCCCTGACAGCGGAAGACTGGACTCTACAATAGCAAAACGTCAGACGGGAATTGCAACCAGCTGAAAGTTGCCTGTGCTTGCGAGCTGAAGCCTGAGCTGCACCTGCATCTTGTTTCACGAAACCTATATGAAGACAAGTGCTAGCCCGTTAGAGGAGCGAAACTTTCAACAATTCCCTCAGGAACCACCACTCAGTCGAAGCTAAGGGACTGTAGCCCGTCTGCGTCGAATGTGATCACAGCAACCAGTCGGCTGCTCCAGCGCGGCAGCTTCATAAAATTCATCATCACTGCGTCCTGAATGTCATATATTGTGCTGAGGATTGAACAAGCAAACGCTCTGGCAACCTGCCTGAAATCTTACGGCAGCCTCCCCAAAAATCCCAAGGAGACCGTCAAGCTCTCCATCAAAGTGCTACTCTGTACCAAGTTTTCAGACCCCACCAACACCAATGCAACGCCAGCCCTGGAGGAACGCAGATGCGACGAGGCATGTGGTTGCAATTGTGCCGCACACAAGGCTGGGACGAATGGCAAATAATACGACAACAGTTCGCCGTGGCCTCGCCGCAAACTGATGCCAAAGAATGCCCAACAATCCTGCCAGAATTCAAGCCCAGTGTCCATGTAGGCTTGTGCGCGGCTGTGACCGCCTAGCGGTGAGGTTGTCCCAAACAAGAGCTAGCTCGCATAGAGACGAGACTGTCAGACTGGCTCAAAGAAAAAGACCTTTGCCTAAAATGCTAAACATGGGTCACCCTTGGAATTCCCGAGCCTTTTTGTTGGCCCCTGCATGCAGAAAGCGGAGGTGCAGTCCAAGCAGCGGCCGAGGAGGAAGGAGAGAAGACTCTGCATCTCTTCCTCCTTGATGTTCATTGCTGAGGCTACCTGCATCCAAAACTCTGACCACGCAGCCATGCCAGGTAGACGACTTGCGTTAGCATGTTTTCAGCGATGCCCTTATGCCTCAAACCAATGTCCCCTGGTCCAAACATCATTTGCGAGCAAGCACCAGCAGCCTGATTCGTAAACTCCACCAACTCCTGAAGCAACTTCTGAAGTGCTACTTGGGTCTTGCAAGCTCTGCAGCGCAGCTGCACTGGCGGCAGCGTATCATGCACATTCAGGTGTTCCTCAGGTACGTGCGTCGGTCATGTTCTGGAGGCAGAAACCACACGCTACAGTCATCTTGCCACGCGGGTCTGGAGATTAAGTTCGGCAGCTCAATTGATCTTTTTTTGGAGGAAATCAGACACAGTTGGTCATAGAGTCAGTAGCGCTTGCAAAGATGCCTTGCAATTTTCTTGAGAAGGCTGGACGAAAGCTCGACGGTGAGGTTTGCTGCGGGGCATTGCCAAGGACAATTATCTCCACGGTTTTCAGTGTGTGCCACGGGTTTTCAAAGTGAGCTTTTGTTGGGCTTCTGCTGTTTCTTCCACGCACTCGCGCATGGGTGGGCTTGAGTGGGTTTCGCGTGTGTGTGTGCCTCCAGGGATGCACCTGTCACGTTCCATGGTTCATGTCAAACCCAGAGCAAAGATTCTCATGAGAGCAGTAGCACGGCACCGGTCTCAGTGTGCTTCAGGTTTGCATGCGCCTCAGAGCAGAAATTTTCATATGAACAGCGGTTTTCATGAGAACAGAAATGCAGCGCCGGCTTAGCTGTTTGATCGGTTCGGCTGACCCAACACTTGCCCAAAAAGATGGACCGTGCACGCTCAAGATCCAGATCACCGCTTTGCTTCCAATGGAAATGGTGCTGGAAACATGTCATGTGGGGCGAGACCAAGATTTGGTATTGGGTCTGGTGGAAAGAACCTGTCGAGTGAGTCGGAACCATTGAGGACAAGAAACACATCACACAGTGTACAGGTGCACGAAGTTTTCCTGCCCATCTTTTTTGCTGCTTGACAGGACGCATAAGAGAACCTGTCAGTGATGTCATGTCCATCAGAAAAGTAGGTTCCAGCTGTGCGTGTGCTTTAGGTTTGCATGCACCTCAGAGCAGAGACTTTCATGTGAACAGCGGTATTGTTGCTCGAACACAATTGCTCCGCAAGCTTGAGCTTTTGAAAGAAAACCGCGTTAACATGGACCATGTTCTTTCCAATGTGGTGCCCCATGTGCTGTCACGGCATACCGAAATCAGTTTCCATGCTGAAGGGGTACCGGATCCACTCTATGGACCATGGTACGCAGGAACTTTGCAAGCAGATGATGAAGCAGGGGCAGCGGTTGCTGCGCTTGGAGATTCCGCAGTAGTTCACCAGGAACTTTTTCGTGCGGTAGATGATTTTCTTGACTCCAGATTCAACGCAGTCAACGCAAGACCTAATTCTGGTGGTGCAACCATCGCTTGATTGCGGTGTCAACTACCATCCACGTCGGCTCGGTGGTTAATGTAGCGGCAGTGAGTCGTTCTTGGATGAGAGCAGTGTCACAAGCAGTCTCAAATCGAGAAACAGTGGTCTTGCGCCACTTGATCAATGCGTCAGATGCTTGAAGGTTCCGCCATAGGATCCTGCAGGATGATTGGGACATGTATGAAGGCCATTTCCATGCTCGAATTTACAATGCGGTACACAGAGGCCGCATGATTTCTCCCAACTGGTGACAATACGTTCAGAGCAGCATTCTAAAAATGGAGTCCGGTCGAGAGTTCATCGTATCAGCACTTGCCTCGTCAGAGTGTGTGTGTGTTTGTGTGTGTGTGTGTGTGTTTTGGGACGGTTTGGGTGAGTTGAGGCGCTGGGTGGATTTGGGAGTGCTTTGGGTGGGCCTGGGGTGTGTTAAGATTTGCTTTGGGCGTGACCGATAGCATTTTGAATTGCAACACCAGCAGCAGTGTTAGTAGCAGTCGCAGCCCTGGCCTGTCATCCGAAGACAAAAGCTCATCATCCACACAATGGGCGGCTCAGCTCTACAATGCTTGAACTATCGAAGTTTCAAACTGTACTTTTGGGCTGTAGGGCATCCAAATATGACATAATTTTAGCTCCCGCTTGCCTGGCCCGAAGTCCGAGAGGACGAGCAAACTGCACTGGGGTGGCTCAAGCCTGTTTTGTGCTCAAGGACTTAGGGACTGGTTTTCCATCCTGTAAAAGGTCCTGCTGCTGTTAGGCGAGGGGCCATTAGGTGTTGCATAGCTTGCAGTTCCTGTGCAGGGAGCGCAATTTTCTTGTTTTGCCGGTGCTGGTAGTTTTCCCCTGCTTCAAAGCTTTGTAATCGCCAAAACAGCTGGCCAGCAGCGGAAGGTTGCTAAACACAGTTTTTGGCTACTGTAGGAGATAATCTCCTCTCCCTTGTTCAAGGGCCCCAGGGAAAGGTGCAAACCTTCCTCACTGCTGATCAGGATTACGGTGGTGTCTGCTCCATTTGTTCTGGGCTTCAAACGAATAATGTTGCAGTCACTTTTGTCAAGAGACTCTCTTTAATGAGGTTCGGCCGCCGCTTAAAGAGTTTCAGCCAATTGTTTCACGACTCTCTTTGATGTTTTTTTTGGTTTTGGGCCCCTAACCGAATTCAGACCATCCCCTTTTAAAGTGATTCTCAGGGCCTCCCCAGCCCTCAGCACCGTGGGAGGTATTGAGGACGCCTATTTTGATTTCTTAGAGGCCCTATTGTAAGCGGGGAGGGGAGCGGCCTCCCCAGTGCCCTCAGCACCGTGGGAGCCTAATGAGGTATTGGGGACGCCTATTCTAATTTCCTGGAGGCCCTATTGCAAGGGGGGAGGGGGTGGGCCATACACTAAAGAGAGCGCAACATTGCTGCCGGTTGCTTTTTGTTAAGCCTGCTTGTTAGTAGGCCAGGCAGCGGCCCCCAGTTGCTGGTATGCGGCTGTTTGAGTGTTCGTCCTCTTGTTAGTGCTGAAAGCCTTGCCTGTGAGGCGCGGTAAGGCCAGCAAGGAAGTGGCACAAGAGGATACTTGAGGTCATCCCCGCCCCGTTGGAGGAGTGGAGCCTCTCCACAGTTTCCCTCCCTCAGGTCTCCCCCAAGATTTGTTAGGACCTGCCAAGCAATTCCCCATGCAGAATTACATTTGGGCTGGCCTTGTTTTCCGTTTTTGCTGGGCAGTATTAGGAACAGGTTGCCTTCCCGGTGAGGATTCGATGGCCCAACTTCCTTCCTACTGCGCCTGTCCGCAGTGTGGAGGTCATTGTGGTACCTGGGGATCCGCCAGGACTTGCGGTGTGGGTATCTTTTTAAAGTTTAGGATTTGTTCTCAAACCCAGTTTGCAGGCAATGCAGACGCAGTGGTTTGGGCGCAGGCCCTTCCCTGCCCCTTGGCTTATGCAAATGCTCCAACGCGGCCCTGCCCTCTGCAATTGGTTTCAATGCAGTTGGCTTGCAGGTGCCTGTTGGGTGGTCTAGTCCCTTTAGCCCCTTAGCTTGGCCCTCGCGTAGGTAAGGGGTGATTTGATGGTAGAGGCGTTGATGTGCTGCAGACTGAGATGCTGGTACAGGATGGCGCGTCCTGTGCCCAGCCCGTTTGAGGCCAAGTCTTTCCCTGAAAAAAGATTAGCTTCCTGGAGGATCCAGTTGGACAAGCCAGGAGGGCCAGCAGTGGCAAAAACAACAGCAATCATAGCAGCAGAAGTCAGCAATCATAGCAGCAGAAGAATGACGCGCGACCACATTATCCTATTCCTTGGTGGGTGGGGAGAGGCAATCTCTTTGAAAACCGTTGAGGCCACATCCACATAACCTCCAAGAAAAAGCAAGTGTCATTGTCATAAATCCATACACGACTCTCAATGGTTCTCAGTTCCCACCAAGTCCTCAGAGACCCCTATAAATCTCACAAACTCTTGCAACTCCTTGATAAAGCTGTGCTACAAATCACCACAAGCTTCAAACACCACCTCCTTTGTTCACAGGTCCCTATAAAGCTTATCCCTAATCCCCCTGAAGTCCATGAGGTTGGTGGCCATGAAGGCGTGGAGCCCGCCCGAGCATAGCGCAGCCCAGGCAGTGCGGAAGAGGCCCAGGACCTGGTGCCCAAGCCCTGCTTGTAGAGTTCAGGGGCCCTAGGCTCCCCGCACCCTAAACCTGCTTTGGGAATGATTAAGGCTTAGGGTGTCCAAGCCTTGGGATCTACTTGAAGGCTTTGGGGTGGCTGCGAGGCTTTCACTCAGTAGCAGTCAACATGGCAAATAACCACGATCAAGCAAAGAACCCCACAGGCTCGGCCAAAACATTGCTCGCAGTTGAAGGACTTCTATAACGACGACAGAATGTCTATTTAGCACAGTCATGTTCTAACAGCCATGAAAGCCTCTGTTCCATTTTGAGTTACTTTGTAGATCCTGCAACTTTACATTCAGCATACGGTTCTTGTCAAAGATAACCGCGCCTGGGAGTTCCTACTGCCAAGCCACATGCGTGCCTGCTGTAACATTGCACCAGCACCCAAAGAAAGAACGCCTTGGAGTCTGTAAACGTTCTTCTACTGCGCTGCGGCATATGCACTGCTTCCTCCTTACATGTGCCGTGCATCTGCTATGTATCCGCTGCCTTCCCCAGATACATATATGTGCACATGAATCAGTCTATGCAGCGCGCACTTTCCCCAGAGTCAGGTGACTGAAAAATATAGATGCGCAATGAATGTAGTTTTCTGTAAGTTGAAATGGTTGCGTTCTCTTTGCACTCTTTGATGGTGCTGTTATGTAAAGCAAGAATATGTGGAGACCCTCAAAGGAACACATCCTTTAACGCCTCTTGTCTAAAGCCTTCTGTGCAGACTGCCTGCAAACAACACCTTTCTAACACACCAAGAAACACTTCAAACACACCGAGGAAGGGTATACCTTCTAATCGAATTGATTTTGATTTCTGGACATACGCTGCAAATGCCTAATCCGTGATCATCCCTGCTAGAGAAGCAGTCAACGATTCTTCCCTGATGAGCTCTTTTCGAAGCTCTTCTGTCTTTTTACAAGCAACAACCATTGTTGGCTTTGTATTTGCATAGGAGAGTGGAATAAACATGATGTTACGAGGAAAACTAGACATGATGAACATAGTGCTCCTTGTGCCAAAGGGTGGGGGAAACCGATGGCCGTTTTTTGGATATTGGGAATGGACTTCATACTGGGAGGTGGATTGGGATTACCATTGGGACGCCTTTGCGGTATTCTTGCCCCAAACTTGACTCAGGACTGTTTCCCATACTTCCATGACTGCTAAAGTCCGTCCCACTCTCTCACTAGGCGATGATCAGGTGGGCTCAAAGAGGCAAACGGGGGGAGATTGGGGACACATGGCTTCAGGATCTTGACACGTCCATGAAGGCTTCAGCCTCTGCGAGCATCTCCTAGCCTACAGCAAATGTCCCTGGCCTAGCTACGCTGGTCCGACCTGTGGATGTTACAGGAGTTCGGCTTGTGGTTTCAATTGCATCTTTGCTGAGAGAGAAATGCGAAGACCTTCAACGCAGCAAGCCTGGCGTTTTGACCAAGCTGCCCCAGCGGACTCCATCGCTTGAATGTCCAAGCCGTGCAGTTTTGTAAGCAGAACTGAGAGACCAAACCCTGCGACCACCAAAGAGTAGGCAATACCAATGATCACCAAGTAGCCTTGGATCTGGCACATTTCACGGCTGCGGACAATTTTCTTGCCAGGATCGCACGGTTCTGACTGCCCGAAGCCTCTCCAATCCGTCTCGCAATTTTCCCAAAAATCATGCGAACGCCCCAGAACTTTTTGGAACGGTTCTTTCCAGAGCCATGCGCTCAATGCAGCTTGCTGCATGTTCTATGAACGCTGGCGCGCTGAACTGAAAGAACATTGAAATGGTTCTGCGACTGCGATCATTGACAACCTCAGAACACATAGCTTACAAACGGTGACGTCCGGTTGCCATCCAGCTGCAGCCTTCTAGAATGTTGGGATAGGCTGCGATCTTGCGGAGCGCGTTGAAGATATTGCGCTTGTTGAGGAACCTGTGGCATGGGGCCCTTTTACCAGTAGCCAGGCCCAGCGGGGTAAGATGTGGTGGAAGGTTGATATGTCAAAATGATGATCGGAGCTTTGGGTCGGCTGGAATCGTCATCACTGTTGCTGCAGATGGTTCTTTGCTGCAGCTGGAGTCTCTGCCAACAAAAATGCCCTGTGCCCCCATGCTTTTAGCCATTCGTGCAGTTTGGCCATGCCTTCGGGTTCCTGCACAGTCTACGGTTTCGAGATTTCCAGGATCCGAGCCTGATGAAGCGCATGGCTGAAAAGCCCGCCAAGGTTTTGACCTGTCAACCAACAGGACTTTTGAGATTTTTTGGGACTCTAGCATTGGAATCCTCCATCGCCAATTCTGAATGCCACTACACAACAAATGTTCCATTGCTGGAAACACGATGAGAGTTCAAGGAAGCTTGGAAAATCGGCAGTAGCAGGCCTGCTAGAAAGCATTTCAGAAGCCAAGACCTCTCTTCCAACGATACCCGCCCTATCCAAAATCGGTAGGGGTAACACTAGCAATGGTCTCTGGCAAGCTCCTGCTGGCTTCTTGGCTCAGCGTGATAGGATGCAGCATAGCGTCTGTGCTCACACATTGGGAGGGGCTGGTGTGACTCCCGCACATACAGCTCAGGATCTCGCATGGCAGCTTACCTGGGGGCAAGGAAGAAGAGTTGTTTACGGGCCGTGGGCACAGGACCTGGTTCCCTCAAATTTCTAGCAACAAGTTGTAAACCTCGAGGGCATGGAAGGGATTCTTCCAACTCCCTGGAAAATGCCCGTGGCAGAATGGTGCCAGGGCTCTTCCATGAGCACTAAATTGAAAGAACATGATGACTCTGACTGTTGTGGTGGGCCACTTCCACTGCGGGCCCTCTGATCACCGTACTAAGCCTTGCTCTGGCTCACGTCAAGTTGCAAAGGTATTCAAGGAAAATGGCGGCCTCGAGGACGCGCGCCGCACTCCTTAATGCTTCCCGTGCTTGGGAAGGGTGTTTACTTCTGAAGCTATTTCTGACATCGTGCCAACATGGCCTTGGGCTCGTGGGTTCGGGGATTCATGTGTTGCGTAGTTCCTACAGCCAGGGGTTAGTTAGGTCAGCGGCAATCGCTGTTAGGTATGGCTAAAAGATTGCTGAAAGTAGGCACCGGGCATGAGAATTTACTGGAGTGAGGTGAGACAAAGTTTCATGACATGATGTTGCAAATGAAAAACAAAAGAAGCAACGAGAAGCATTGCTTCGGAAGCTGATGGTGTCAAGCCGCCCCACGGTCACAGGCATCTCTTCACCGCAGACAGTCATCATGTTCCGTGAAAGGGCCTCTGCTGCTTTCACTAATGGATCCACGAATGCCTGGATAGTCTCGGTCTGTGGTTGAAACGACTTCTTTATCAAACCACTGCTATGCTTGAAGGTGAAACTGTGTTGGAATTCCCCGTCTCTGATGCGAGCCTTTGCATCCCCTGGTCTACAAGTACACACTCTTAACCCAGCACGGCGGACCTGCCTTGATGTTCACGGCCAGTCGCAATGCGAAGAGCAGAAATGCCAGGTATTTCATCTCTGTAACATGGTGTCTGATGAGGCTTTGCTCCTTAGCCAGGGAGGCTGGAAGTAGCTGTGCAAATCTCGTAAGAATGCAACACAGGGTGGGCTGTTCTTGGCTGCTGTGTAAATCCCATGCAGTTGATCAATTCTCCCGCTGAGCTTCAGACGTCGTATGTGAGGCCAAGGTCTTCCTTCAAGCGGACGGCACCCTGCAAAGCGTCCTCATCATCTGAGTCTCGATGCATGTGTCATGCAGATGACCTAGCGCTGCAAAATCATCCCTTCCGCTTTGATAATGTCCTGAGGCAAGAGAGTTTCTCGGTCGTTCCTTTGCCAGCTGCTGATACCTGCACGACATGAACAAGCAAATCTCAGACTCTCGGGGTCTGACCCCGCACTGCACTTGCTCGACCTGGTCCATACTTCATATTATGAGGCTTGCTGCCTTTTCAATACTTCGTCATCTGTGATGCAGCTACCTCTTGACGGAAAGAGAGGCCTGCTGCAACCCCTTGTTCAGTGCGAGGGGATACTAGTGCAACAAATGAGAATACGTAGTTAGCAACATGGTTGTCTCAAATCTACGGCCTTTTAAGGATTTTAAAGCACACCGGAGAAGGGTCCGTTGTTTTATTACACCCACGTCGTTTTCTTATCCACGAAGTTCATCTGCATAAGCTAGTTACTTTTTCAAACTCGCAGAAGTGGAGTAGTTGAGTAGTGTCTCTTGATGATTGAAACATTTTAATCCAGCTGCGCCGCGCC